GCTGAAAAACTAAAAAATAAGGTTTGAAATGTTTAACTGGCTGTTTTACAGTTTTTTTCTGTATCTGAAACAAAGGCTTACAAACACTTATTAAACAGTACAGCAAGAAACAGAACGTTCTCAGCATTTTCCATAGCAAAGAATTCCAAGCAGAGAGCCTGACTCTGAGAGACTTGTTTTCCTTTAAGCATGCAAGAAGCTCACAATATTTTAACTGGTGTCTGCTCATCTGCTTAAACATACACAAGTCTTTGCCACATTGAGTACAAAAGGTGGAAATAAATGTCCAGAAAATTCCTCTTCCCCTTTTCAATCTGACAGCAACAAGACTTACTGAGCTACTCCCCTGCATGATTTGTGAAATGCTTTTTTTAAAAAAACAAAGTTAATAAAATTACTTTCACAGAAAGCTTCCTTTGTAACTCACATCATAAGGGAAAAGGTACAAGAACTACTTATACTTTGATAATTGAAATGTTTGATTACTCCCTATGAGTAATAAACTCTTACTGCAGATCTAATTTCATTTCTCAGCTCCCATGGGAGCAGTAGACACTTCACACACACACTGCAAGAGCTACACAGATTAAAGAGTTAGGCAAGGACTGGACCTGAAAATGGACATTAGCCTGACAGCTAAATTAACTAACCAGCTTGGTTTAATTTAGGCTAGACAATAAAGAGAATAACTTTGGAAAGTGAATATACCACTGAAATGCATCACAAAAATCCTAAGTCGGTGCTTGGGAACCAAGAAATGAACAAGCTGCAATCTCCCTCTTACTTAATTACCACCGTGACAGCAACGCTGTTGTTTCACTGAGCAGAGGATATGGTCTTTGTTTAACTAACAGTTTGGTTTCATGTTATCATTACTGCAATATGAGTATTGATTTTTTAAATAGCATCCACTGCATCCTGTTCTGTGCGACACAGTATAATGACACAGGGCAGCTTGTTTCTCTGTGAATTTGCCACTGCTGAAGACTTAAAATCAATCTCTTACCAAGTTTCACTGCAAAAAGAAACTTCACGAAAAAGTCTCTCAGAAGGCTGAAAGAGAATGAGTATATATTGAAAACAGGGAAATATGTATCATGGCTGTAGTTATTTATATATTCATTTATTTTTAACAGTCATTATGTAATCAATGAACTATTCCCTGGCAGACTTCTACAGGTCAAAGGAGAAAAGTTAAAGGGAGTAATGTGAAAGCCAGAAAATTCATGGAATATATGTCTGTTCTGAACAGAAAATACTCAATTCAGGCTGGATTTAGAAAAAGGTGCAAAGCTCTGAAACTCATGAGGCTTCAGCTGGGTAAGTGAGGTTTATTTTAGGCTAAGAAATGAAAACTAGGAAGCTCTGGATTAGCAAATGAATAAAAAGCTTTTACATATAGAATGGTATGAACACATGGCTACATCTCCTATGTACATACATATATACACTGCACACTTTCTATACACTGTACAGAATATATTTAGACAGATAGGTATAAACATATACATTCATACACACATACAACTATGTACATATGCATTAGCTGCTCGAGTGAGTTTTAGAATTGAACGTGCAGTAATGCACAGTGGTGGGAGGCACAAAATGAAGATGTGTAAAAAACTATCAAACCCTTTAAAAAGAAGGAAGACAGGCATGAATTTAACAATAAGAAGCCATTTTCAAAGCAGTCATTTAACTCAGAGGACAAAACAGGCTTGTGGAATTATGGAACATTATGACAGTATAATCTGTGAGGAACTCAGCATGACTTCACAGCAAAAAGCTTAGTAATAAGGTAATTCTGGGGTTTGGTGTTTTCCAAGTCTAATATATTTAGACTTAGAGCTTTTAAACTTTACAAATAATTTTACTCAGTATAAACAATGTTCTATTTTTTTTTCCACAAATTATTTCCTGTATCATGTTGCTAGCACTGACTTCAGCAGTAGGGTTGTAGCATTATCTAACAAGAGGGGTTAGAGCATTTTTCAACAAACACTAAGAACTTCAGCCCTGACTTGCTTTCCCTCTCACATCTCAGAATATAGTACCAAAGGGTGCTGTAATGACACTGCAGAGCCAGCTGTTGCAGCACAAAAGTCTTGAGCCACAGGTGTTCTCTGGAGGCGTTCGGGCTGCCCTGAGGCCCGGGTGCTTCAGAGGAT